TGACCCTAGGCGCATTTTCACACGGCCAGCAACACACACTCAAGAAAATCGAAAAAAAGGAGGGAAATGTGTGCCTGCCGAAGACAATATTCGGACCAAATGGCCTACTCAACACGTTTATACCAGAAAAAGGATTCAATCGATTCTGGTTCCTTTTGGAATACAAAATAATTAAAGATTTATTTAATTTTTGCACACTTAAATCTCATTTTACTATTTTTTTGTTTGGTTTGTTACAATTGATATAAAAATATTCTTCTAAAAATCAAACAAGACTTTTTTCTATGTTTTATATAAAAATATTTTTGGAAATATTATTTTTCGTAAATTGTTAAATGTTTTAATATTGATTTTCATAACATAATAACTATCAGCATGTCAAATATGTTATTCAAAAAAATGCTTTAAATTATCTAAACTCCTACCCAAAAGTAAGCAACATTAGCTGGCAAAACATTATTTTTGATGACCTGTCGTGTCATTCCCAAAAAAACAAAAAGAGGGCCCCATAAAGTAGTGAGCGCAGTCTCGTGTGAGCCGCACATAACTTCATCAAGTCTGGCCAAACTCAGTGGCTCAGATACAAAATAGCCTCGAGCCTCGAAAGAAATGCTGGAACATAAAAGAAGAAAAGCATACGCCACACATGATACTCATAAAGTAGAGAAGAAATGTTGTTGGCATGCCCAAAACACATACACTCAAACTCGAGCATTATTACATTTTTCACACCAATGAAAACAAACACAAAAAAGCCAAGGGGAAAACTTGGCCGTGCTGATCAACTTCCTAAGCTTTTGAATGTGAATGTCAGAGGTTGGCCTGGTTTTTACTTCCCATTTTTTTGTTTTTGCCAATTTCCTCTTTCGGGCAACGCCATCCGGTTGAGAGTTCGACTTGGTCACTAACGAAAATTACAGAAATTGTATATCCGTTTCCGTTTAAAGTTGGGTCCCAGCCATCCTGCTTTGTGCCCAATTTTTGACAGGCATATCGAATTATTTATTGGCACATTTCGCCCTGGTAACCAGCAAAAATAGTTGGGACGCAATTTATGGCACATCGCGCATACGTCGCATTGCCCACATGTGTCCATGTGAAAAGGATGTCCGAATGAGAAACTGTTTCGAATTCCTTGGCGAGGGCATTTTTCACTCGATACATGTCCCGACCCAGTTGTAATCCCTTAAGCCTACACAAGTCAATTTGCAGACATCGAGCATCGAACTTGTAGAACAATTGGCCAAGCAATCAGCAGGCAAATTGTCAAAGCTACAAATCTCCGCCGCAGGATATCATGCACAGAAAAAAAAATATTCACATCCAGCTCCTATTGTCTTCAGACTATAATAATATTTTGTTGAAATTCTGAAGGATGTTTAATGTAAGAACAATTTTAGTATAGATTGTGAGAATGCCTAATTTTCACCTTCTTGCGTGTCCAAAAGCAGTATAAAATGGTTTAAAATTCCCTTATTTTAGTCTTATATTTCAATTTTCGGTAAGATTTTACAATAAGGGGTCTTATTTGAACCAATATTTAAGGGAAATAGTGATGTTCGTATAACAAAAAATACCTGCTTGCTGTTTAGTAGAAAAAACTATTTGTTAATATCAAAATTGAATTATATTTTGTTTAATTACACCAAGCTCTGATAATGTCATTATATATCACTAGAAAGTTTCTTAAACTACTACTGCTTTTTAAAAAACGGGTCAACGAAAACATAATATTTTTTCTCTGTGACTCGAGTCATTTCCAAAATCGTTAACCATTCGAATCGAATGCATCACTCGACTGACCAAGGGCCAAAGGAGCGGTTAAGTGGCAACATTTCTTCCGGATCATGGGGATGGGATGGCATTGGGGGTGGGTTGCCGTAATCATTACGACAAATTGCCGGGGCCACGGGCAATAATGATTAATAACAAGGCAGCTGCAGTTCCTCCGCCGCCGGAAAATGAACGAAGTTTGTACGGCCGCTTGTGGCTTTATTAAAATAAATAACTGAGGTTTAGTCGGTTAAGGCGCAGGTAATCGCGATGCGACCCTTGCTGTTGCTTCCGCTTTCGTTATGAATAATAAACTTGACGCTGCTCAAAGTTTACCGGTGCCTGGGGCAAAGTTATAATTTGTCTAATTAAAAGTTTTCCTGATTAACCTGGCGGCTAACAAGGTCAGTTGGTGAGTGCAACAAAACGTTTTGCTGGGCAGGACAACGCAACAAATCAACGAGCAATGAACAACTGTGGGGAAAACTCAAACACCAACTGGGGGAAAATAGTCGCAGCTTAGCAACTTTGGATGTGGTCCCTGAATTTGACCCAAAACCTGGGGCCACGTGACTCATGTTCCAGTCAACCTAATGCACATTGTTTTGCAGCTTTCTCGTTTTGTTGTGCCATAACATTCTATGTGCATTTTATTGCTAAAGTTTTTCCGGTCATGTCCTGTGGAGTTGTCATGTGCGGTAGACCAAAGAAATTGTGGCCAACTATTGCAGCTAAGAAAAGAAAAAATATACAGGATCAAAACAAAGGTTCTTGGAAGTCAGTTAATATTTCAACATTTTTTAAAACTTTGAAAGCTCAGTTTAAACTGCTTCTAACAAAAAGTTTACCGGGCGATACCCATTCAAGTAAAAGAAAATCCATTCACTAACGAATTAGAAGAGGAAAATATATTGACCGCCAAAAAGTCACTAGACTATTAAATATAGAACTAAAACAGAAGTAGAAACATTTCATACAGGCTATTTTTTATTACATAGTCAATTCATTTTAATTTTCTTTTTAAACCATTTATTTAGGTTTGTTATATTTATTGTCTTATTTTGTTTCAAAACTTATTTTTTGAGGTTATTTATTTTATGCAATAAGATATACATATATTTCGATATAAATATTAGCAAAATATTGGCAAGTTACTGCAGATCTTTATTTAAATGTAATACTAACAAGGGTTTGAGGTTTTTACGTTTATTCTAAATTGTTGTCCGCCAACGTATTTCCTAGGAAAAGATAGCAATTATTTTGTTTGCGAAACTTTGAAAATTGTTTTTTAATTGATGCTCGTAATGTGTCTATCAAAGCAGTTGAATATATTAAAGCATGGAGAAAGGTCTCGTCATCGGAATTTGTTGGACTTTACTTGTGCCAATACTAGTAAATGGAGAGTTTCAGTTGAAAAATGTAATTTGCGAATCCTTCGACACCTCGATTTCGGATTTCAGCCGTTGCGAGATGAAGGTTGTTTCCCGAGGCGTGGCGGCATTTTTTATGGTCTGGAAGCTTTACAAAATTCCCATCGACAACGTGGGCATCAATGTGTCGCTGTACAAGAAATCCAATGGATATCGACCATATCTCTTCAATCAAACCCTCGATTTTTGTTACTATATGCGTAATCCAAGAGCACATCCACTTATTTATATGATGCACAATGTTTTTCTCTCCACCTCCAACATGAATCACTCGTGTCCATATAATGTGAGTATAAAAATAGGAAGAAACAGCAAACCTTTTACCTTTGAGTTATAAAAATATATTTTTTATAATTTTACTTTATTAACAGCACGATTTGATTATAAATAACTTTATCTACAAGCAAAACGATTTGAAGGATCTACCCATACCCAATGGAGATTATATGATACAAGTGAACGTTGCAACGGATAAGGCATATCGGGTATCTATAAAGATTTATGCAACCAGAAATGGTTAAACGGAGTAAAAAAATGTATATTTGCCACCCACTATATTATTCTAAATATTTGTATTTGGTTCCCTATTAGACCATTGTTTGGTAACTTAATCTATAATTATTAAACTATAAAACTATTTCAATCAATAATTATTAAATTATTAAAAGTAAATTAGTAAATCATGTTTTTATGTGCACCAACATAATCAAAAATGGTATTTTGTAATGCTAATTTGGGGGGATTTCAATAATCGCCAACATATTTTGGAAAATTGATATATAATTGTTGCTCAATCACATATAATTTGGAAGAACTCAGTACATATAGACCTCAAACGCAAATAGCAGACCATGCTGAGCGGTCTCATTATTGGAATTCTGTTTACTTTAAACTGGACAATACTGGTAATGGGCGGCTTTCAGTTGCACAATGTGATTTGTCAGTCCTTAGACACCTTGTATTGAGATTTTTATCGCAGTGAAATGAAGATTGTTCGACAGGGAGTAGCCGCTTTTTATATGGTCTGGAATATTAATTAAACGCCCATCACCAAAGTGAATATCCACTTGGCGCTATACAAGAGGTCAAACGGATATCGTCCGTTTCTCTTCAATCAATCTGTAGATTTCTGTTACTGTATCCGCAAGTCCAAGTTGCAAGTGGCAAAGTTCATCGTGCACTAATAAAAATGTACGCAAAAAAAATTATTGATTGGCTTCGACAGATTTAAAAATTAATTTACATACGTAACGTTACAAATTTAACTAGTTTGCAAACTCATTTATTTTCTTATGACAAATAAAAAATTACAGTAATCGTTTATCAACTTATTGTTTTGGGTTTATGTGTTTTGACAATTATTTAATAATTTGGGCTTTAAATCTATAAAAAAGCACTTATAATTCAAAACAAATCATTCGGTAAAATGAGAATGAATGAAAATCTACCGAAAAATCCGTCGATATGACAGGTTGCTTTTGATTTGTTTCTCGTTTTATTAGACTTTAAAACTTATTTTAAAAATGTATTTAATTTAATACCTTAAGCGGTTTCTGCGACACCGTCATTTGACTTTGGGTTGAAGTTTAGTTGATGTACAGTTTTTTAAGTAAAGATTTAGATATGACAAAGTAAAACAAATTAGGAGACCAAGAGAAACTTTTTGAGCTCAGTGTAGGAAAAAGATAATTATCTTTATACACAATATATTACCTACGCAGCTTGATTTAGTTATAATAGCAGTGAGTTACCCAAACGAAATGATGTCAAATTGTCACCAAAACTGCAACACGCAACATGAAGTTTGCGGGCATTCTCAACCTACTTTTGATTGTGGACCTATTTCCCACTATCCGAGGAGCTCATTTTCGCTTCACCAACATAGATTGCTGCAGTCTGGACTCGGAGTTTGTGGAGGTCAAGGAGTGTAACTTGAAGATGGTGCGCAGAAATGTCGTGGGCATGAATTTTCACATAGCGTTAAAATGCGACAAGCCCATCGATAAAATTCAGTTCAACCTAAGCATATTTCGCAAGTCGAATGTATTCAGGTTGTTTTTGGTAAATCACACCATCGACTTTTGTTATTATATGCGCAGACCAGAGAAATATCCGATATTCTATATGTTCCATGAATCCCTTATGGCGGCCACAAATGCCAATCACACCTGCCCATATCTTGTGAGTACATTTTTTTTACGAACTTGTTCAATAACCATTATTTTATACCAACAGGAAAAAGATATATATGTGAAGAAAATGATATTCAACGAACAGACGCTGAAGCACCTGCATACCATTTTACCTGAAGGCGAATACAAAATGGTTGTTTCGGTGGGCGGTTTTGGAGTCTGGCGATTACAGGTTAATGTATACGGTCGACGTGGTTAACTGTTATTAAAGTAATTACCGAAACAATCAAATATAAGTCAATCGAAGATAAAACAAAATCAATTTTAATTAATTAAAGCAAACCAGATGTTAAATTGGCCTTTAGCAGAGCCAGACAGCATAATAGTTTAATAATAATCTCCAACGAGACAGCATGAAAAATCATATATTGAATTTATTTCTACCCATACTGATCATTTTGTATGGGACCGATGGAAAAGTTTTCCGAGTCAGCAAAATGGAGTGCCGATCTTTGGATCCTTCGTTCACATATTTTGAAACTTGTAAATTGACGCGCAGGGAAAATGGGCGATCCTCTCTTTATGTCAACCAGGTGATACTCTATAAAGATCCTATTAATGACATCATTGTAAGTTGCGAAGTAAGCTCCATGTAAAAATAAAAAAAAATTATATTCTAGTTCAACCTGGGAGGTTTCAAAACAGTCAAAAATCGTCGCTTTCAATTTCTAAACGAGACCTTGGACTACTGTGTTTTAGGACAACTGCTTTTAGCCAATAGATATTTTAGATTTCTGATGACGCCGTTGATGAGATTTTCGAATATAAACGGCACCTGTCCTATTCAGGTGAGTAATAAACATTTTTGCGTAGACTTAACCTTACTTAAAGTAAAACCCACAGCAACACATAATTGTCAACGGTTTTTCTGTCGATGAAAACACAGTTAAGGAGATTCCAATCCCGAACGGTGTTTATATGTTTCAATTGCGAACATCTTTGATGAAAAAATGGAGAACGGTCATAAGAGTCTATGCCACTCGAGTTGACAAATATTCTGAGTAAAGTTGTCATAAATTTCAAATAAACTTGTATTGAATGTATAAATATATATTAAAATACAACAACACTAACTACTAGTATGCTAAATTCAAAATCAGTTTCAGGAATACCTCTATTACTTACATGGTAATTACATTCTACATTTATTAAGGGTAAGTTACATTGGACACAGAATGTTTCATATTCGGCCACATAGACTAATGGCGGCGCCACCTAAAATTAGCTGGGAATTGCAAAATTCATGTTTTCCAAAATAATAGTCAGATCCAATAAATTTTAAATGTTTTGCTAATTTATGGTTGCATTTTACTTTGTTTTGAGAACATTTCGATAGTGATAATTTAAACCATCGATACTATCGACCTAATAACATATTCAAGTCGGAATAGCATTAGCATTTTAGCTTAATGCCATAATGAAATCTGGCGCATTTAAAAAGTCTACTAAAGAAAAACCTTGAGTGAAATCGTTAACAGTGCCCAAGAAATGCATTGACATTTTTTGGAGTGACCGTTATCATCAATAAGCCATAGACATCACCGATGTCATCGATGTTCCTATCGATATGGTATCGATAAGCGCGATGCTTTCATCGGCGATTCTCCATCTCTATTTTTCTCTCTTTCCTATTCTAATCGCGAGCAAAATCGTAAGTAAAAACGCGGAGCTCCGCAAAAACTTATAAAAAAAATGTAATTTGCGCCAGGAAATAGAAATACTGCAAGTCTAGGCTAAATAAACTGCCGGCACGCAGAGTTCAACCAAAATCAAAAAGAAAACTTTGGAGATGCCGCAAATGCAAATAGATTGCCGAATTTAACCCAACTTTTTTGTTTCTGCAGTGCTCGGTTGAATTGTCGGAACCATGGTGAACGGCCGCATTCCCTCGGTCTTTTCGAAGACCTACGTGACTCCCCGTCGCCCCTATGAGAAGGCGCGACTGGACCAGGAGTTGAAGATCATCGGCGAGTATGGTCTGCGCAACAAGCGTGAGGTGTGGCGCGTCAAGTACGCCCTGGCCAAGATCCGTAAGGCCGCCCGTGAGCTGCTGACCCTTGACGAGAAGGATGAGAAGCGTCTGTTCCAGGGTGAGTACTGGGTATTAATTAATTACGGTTGAACTTCCCATAAACAGACGTGGGCACGTGTTTTTAAAATGTCTGTAAACCAATGCGTCTTAAAAATTTGATTGCTATATCTTGTTCCGTATAAGTTCCACAATTTAATGATACATATTCACACCTTATCAAAAGTGTTTACTTTTCTCAACCCTTAACTGAATAATAAAATTTAAATAAGTAATAAATTTCACTATATTCATACCTCATTTTAATATACACAAACCGTTTTTATATTTTCCATATTACAAAAAATACGTTATCTTATCTTAACAAAGCACGTGTTAAATGCTATTACTATTAATATAATGTAGACTTCTATAATGTAAACTTCTAGAACAATCAAAGAGATAATGCAATTGGGATACAGAATTTTCTTAACAAATTATTGGGGAAGTTCGTCTGCATAACCGAACTTGACATGATGAATTGTATTAAAAATAATATTCTGACACTTCTTGTCTGAAAAAACCTTTGACGTTAACAAATACGCACTGAAAAAAGTTCCATGTCCTAATTTTTGCACCCCCTTTGGAATTCCTGCTAATGATACCCTCTTTATGAACAGGTAACGCCCTGCTGCGTCGTCTGGTCCGTATCGGTGTCCTGGACGAGTCCCGCATGAAGCTCGATTACGTGCTGGGTCTGAAGATCGAGGACTTCTTGGAGCGCCGTCTGCAGACGCAGGTGTTCAAGCTGGGATTGGCCAAGTCCATCCATCACGCCCGCGTCCTGATCCGCCAGCGTCACATTCGGTAAATATCGCTTGGATATAGCGACAAAAGCGTCGCCAGGCTGTCTCAGATATAACTCTGTTTTGTTCAGTAAGACCACTTGGGAGTCGAACAAGCGCCAATGCTTGCACCGGCTCTCAACGTCTTTAGATTGCGCATGTGACTCCGTTCACTCCAATCGAAAATGCAAAATGCCCGCCTAGCGTAAGTTGCACTGAACGTTTTTAGACCCAATCCCGCAGCCACCATATGCTGTGTTTCCTTCCTCCCGGGTTTAACTAACCAATTTTTTTTTTGTTTTTCCACAGTGTCCGCAAGCAGGTGGTCAACATCCCGTCGTTCGTTGTGCGTCTGGACTCCCAGAAGCACATCGACTTCTCCCTGAAGTCGCCCTTCGGCGGCGGCCGTCCCGGTCGCGTCAAGAGGAAGAACCTGAAGAAGAACCAGGGCGGTGGCGGCGGAGCTGCCGAAGAGGAGGAGGACTAAGCAGCGGTAGCCAGCTGCAGCCACTAAAATTCAAGGCGCAGACTTTTGATAAAAATCTGTTTGTTTTACACAAATAAATGTAAAATTACCTTAAAGTTGTACTGTTTGTTCATTGGTTTGGTACAGGGTTTATAGACGACCAAAGATAACTGAACTAAAAGTGGTTTGAGGTTATTTTTTATAATTTTATGTTTTAATTTATTATGTTTATTTTGTATTGTTCTTAATACTGAACACAATTTAATAACAATTCATGGGGTAGTCAAATTTCTAGTCTTTATTGTAAAAGTTATATTATAAACCCTATCTGAATTCATTTGCCATACTGTGCACACTTTTCTAGCATTGTTTATTTAGATTTGATCAAGTAATTACAAACAAATCAATTATATATAATAAAGCTGCAACTAAATTAAACTTTTTAAAAATAAGGCGAGTTAAATTATTTCACTTTTTTCCCCCCATGTCCAATCAGGGATGATATTTCGAGGTATCGATAAGGAAGGGCCAAACAGCTGTTTCGTGTTTACATTAAATTTGTTGTGCTGTGTCTTCCCAAATTTTAAACTCTAAATTTTAGAGTCTTAAATGTCTTCGAAAAGAATTCGAGGGAAAAACTTCAGCGAGCAGGAAGAGCACGCGCTCATAGATCTCGTGCTGTTGAACAAGGATATTCTGCAAGACAAGAAGAAAGATGCGGCTACATGGCGAAAAAAGGCAGAAACTTGGGAGCGACTTGCCAAGGAGTTTAGGACGCAAACTGGAACCGATCGATCATGGACCGCTTTACGGGAGAAGTACGATAATATGAAGAAAAACTCTCGGAATAAACTCAGAGGAGTCAAAAATTGGGACGCGGAGAAGGAGCTTTCCGAATCCTATGTGCCTACAGGAACCACCACCACACCACTGGAAAACCAGTTTGATAGTGACGGTAAGTGTTTTAGTATAGGTACATTTTAAAAATGTATTTCATTTCATAATAAATTATAGACAGTCTATATAAAATATGTAAGGACCAAGTAACTGCCAACAAAATATAATATAAAACATGAGTACAACTAAAAGCTGTTAATATATTAATATATAATTTCTTTTTTTTTGTTTGCAGGTAATTTTCAGTTAATAAATGTAGCGAAAGAAGAAGATCCTTCGATCAGCTCGCATAACTCTGATAGTTCACAGTTGCTGCAAGTAAGTTTTTAAGTTTATATTTGCTTCTTCATTAATGTCTCTTTCAGTTTTTCAAGCAGAACATGGATGATTTCGAAGAACCTGAGGTCGACAGCTTCGAGGATTCTCGAAGATGGAACCAAAACATAATGCGGAATGGAAACTCAACAAGATTGTTGGAAGTTAAAGAGAATACCCGAATTGAAGAGGAGCAGATGGAATTGATTAAGATACAACAGGAATATTATAGAGACCAGAATTCCAGAGCCGCTGAGAAACACAAATACGAAGTAGAAAAGCAAATTGTGGAACTTCAAACGGCCCGATTAAAGAACCAATTACTTGAGATGGAAATCGAAGTAAAACGCGAAGAATTAGTTAAAAGTAAGCAAAGTATTGTAAGTTAGCTTAATTGTATTAAGGACTTTACTAAACAGTTCATCAAGAAAGCGGTCCTAATATAATTCTTAGGTAAAAACTTGTTAAGGCGTAGACCATATGAAAGCAACTTTAATTATAAACATTCGGCAAGTTTATTTTTTGAAAATAAAGTCACCCAGTTTTTAAAAGTCAACAGTATGACCGGATTTGTTGTCCAACAAAATACTACCGTTATCGGCTTGGCACTCGTTTTTTCCTGAGCTTTAGCGCGCTTCCGCACCAAAGTGCCATTCTCACAGAACGAACTTTTGAAAATCACTTGAGATTCGCGTAAACACAAACTCCCAAGAAAAACAACAGCTGGATCTAAATCAAAAATTGTGGATTAATAAATATTGCGAAAATGCCGAAGCCCGGTGACAAGGCGAAGGTGAAAGTGAACGTGAAGGAGCGGGTGGTGGACGAGTCTTGCGATTTAAGCCTTTCTGAGCTGAGCGAAATACCGGTGCGGGAGATTGTAAGTACAAACACTGCTTACTGCTTCTGCGGTAATTAGCACCGATTCTTGGTGTCTCTATATATGCACTATACCCCATCTCGCTCCCCCATGGGGCCACGTCTGTTGTCTGGCGAATGTCTAGTCACTGTCTATCTCGCTTGCGCAAATAGCAGGGGGTGGGTGGGCTTTGGAGATTGAGATATCCACTTCCTCTCTCCTTCATGTTCTTGTTGTTGGCTGCAATGTTCAGCCGGCTGGCTTGCAATTAACGCTGACGTTGACTTCCCCTCTCCCTTTCGCACACCCCTTAACCCTTGTGTGGTTAAAATTGCAGTTGAGTTTGCGCCAGGGGGTTGATTTTTGGTCTTTACCACCCCTCAAAAACTCAAAAGGTTGCCAAAAAAAGGAAAAACAAGTATAGAAGTTAGGGTCGACTGTCTCGACTACTTGATACCTGGTAGTTCATTTTGAGTGAAACAGATTATTTTTTTGACATCCAATCTAAATGGTTATGGTAATGGTTTTTTTTAATAAAGAAACGTTAATTTACTTTGGCTATATATAAAAAATATGAGAATCTTAAATCTCCAATAAATCTGCTTATTCTTAATAAAAACCATCTAAGTAACCTTAAGTTCTTATATTTGGATCGGGACAATATTTTTTTTGATTAAGTATTTATTAAATAAGAATTATAAAAAGAATCATAAAAAAACAAACTTTCATAGGTCCTTAATATAACAATTTGTGCTCTAAACTCTTAAAGATATAAATACGTATATGAGTTTTGGATTCCCAATAAGATCATACATACAATTCAATGACCTCAGAACTCGAACATACCTTCATTCTTAACCAGTAAGCGGTGGAAAATAATGAAAGGGATTTAATGGCAGTTACAGTTTTCGGGGGTTTCTTTTTTCGGTCATGTTTTGCCACAACTTCTCAGCTCAGTTTGCCTTTGTGCTTTGCAGGCTTCGTTCAAGCGCGTCACTGTTTTGGATCTGTCCAGCAATCGTCTGGTCAATCTGGGAGTAAGTAGCCCAAGTCCAAAAGACCCCATTAAACACACTTCCTAACTGGCACTCTTCGGTTAGAAAAACTTTTCGATTCTCACACGTTTGGTGCGACTGGATCTGAGCAAGAATCAAATAACCTTTCTGCCCGAGGACTTTGGCCAGCTGGAGCAGCTGCGCCACTTGGACCTGTACAACAACTGCTTGGAGCACTTGCCCATTAGCTTTGGTCAGCTGCGTCGTTTGCGGTACTTGGATCTGAAGGGGAATCCCCTAACGCCCGCCTGGGAAAAGATTGTCGGTTGCTGCTCCACGCAAAGGGACTGCCAGCAGGCGGCTAAGAATACTGTAAGTGGCTCTCGACTTGAATGGCCCTCGAGAGCGCCCATTTTCCCATTTTCCCATTTTGCCATTTAACCTTTTTCTGTTTTCACCATTTTCCAGGTCAGCATCTGCGCCAACTACAAGCCGGAATTCATTGAACGCGAACGTTTGGCCGCCCAGGAGACCCAGAAAATGGCCGGAGGTGGAGATTCCAATGCCAACTCCACCCAAACAAATGGCGGAGCAGGTGGTGGAAAGAAGTCCACTAAACCCAATAACAAGAAAGCGAAAGCCAAAAAACTCGCTGGAGCGGGGGACAATGAACTGACAATCAAAGCAGTGAATGCAGGAGGATCATCAGAAACTGGTACTGGATCGGGAGCCAAGTCAAATCAGAAGAACAATCAGAAGAAAAAGAACTCCAATGGCGGATCCTGGCTGAACGTACTCTCAAGGGCTGCACTATCCTCATTGATGACCTTTCTCGTCCTCTTCATCATCAACGTTTTGATCATTTACATGATCATGTTTAAGAACCCGGACATCGCAGACAAGCTGGTGGAGTATATACCCCACCAGTATCGTGATTGGATCCTGACCAAGACGGAGATCTTCCGACTGCGTGTCACCGACTGGATCTCGGAGTTTCGAACACCGCCAGAGGAACACTGACGGTTCATTTATTTGAAGCCTTAGGGCGCTGGGCTTCAAATAGAGGGAATCGCTTAACAAAATTCGGATGCACAACGCGTGTGTGGAGGCAAATATTAAATTGGAATACGTGTAGACCACCTGAACGAGTTATACGACTGCTACTTTGATATACCATTATCTGTAATTTACTGCCATTTAGTTTGATAGACACTAAGTAACTACGTCCATTGACAGAAGATTTTAACAAAAAAAGCACACGCACTCCGCAACTGAAGAGGCCACATAAAAGACACCAAACTACACTCAATCACTCAACTCAATTGAACTCAGATGAATCTACAGCTAACCTAACCATAGCTCAAGCTCAACTCAATAGTAACTGAATGGCGGTTCCAAACTGGCCAACGCATAGAAACTACAGACACAGTCAGACCAGACACCCTCGTAATGTCCACATCTGTCAGATCGGATCGAATCAGCATCACACAAATAATATATATAAATCTATAGTAAGAGTTTCCTGTGCAATTCCCATATTATTTAAAGTTCAAGCTCAAATTGTATTTATATTGGCCCGACCATTTTACATTTGTAGATTTCAAATCTCATAGGTTTTTATAGTAAACGCAACGGAAATGTTTACCATTTTTGGTTGGATTTTGCACGAAATCAAAACGAAATAAAAGCGGTTTCATATGATTTATGCAAAAACAAAATAATTGTATTGTAACAAAGAATTTGCAAGATATTTGGAATAAAATTTTACATTTTAACGAATGCCTCTTGATTTTTTTCTTATACTTCGTGGAAGAACAAATATTTTCTTATCATTGGTTCTATTTTTAGGCCCCTTTAAAATAAATGCTAAACGTCAAGAATTATTGGCCCAAATCAAACCATTTAAATAAGTTTTATTTCCCAGGAAATCGTTAATAAACCTAATTTCAATTTAGATTATTTCAAATTTATGCTTATCTACCGATTTGTTCAGGTTGTTATCTAATATTTATAGCTCCCGTCGGGCACGCGAGTGTCTTTATCTCAATTTTTTTTATTAAAAATAAATATTAAACGCTCCGCAATTTATTTTTATTAATATGTACATTTTTTCTGATTATTGTACAAAATAAACGAGAAACTTTCACAGAAGGAAACCTTTAAAAGGTTGAATACTGGGGAAATCAGAGCTTATTTCTATAAAACTCTCGTCACTCTTGTCAACAAAACAAACAAATCTTAACTACTATTGCAAATTTCGGCCTCGATTTTAAAACGTGATCTATAAATTAAAGATACCGTGTTTGATAACATCTTATTAAGTTTTTTTTTAGGTGCACAAAATCCTCACTATGAAACAGAAATTAAACAATGTATAAAAGATATCCTTGTGAATTTTTAACATTAGAATGGTGTTCCATGTTATTTGGTATCTCTCCCTAATCGTTACATTCGCATATCGCAAATAATTGATAAATGACTTGCGAAAAACAACCGGTTCTGTGCCAAAGTGAATTTCATCAATAGAAAGTTGTAGAACGATGACGTACTTATGAGCGGGAGGCAATTACTATTTAACATCGTGAGTGAGCAATAACGTGGTTAAATATTTATGTTCATGCGTTAGGTTTCCAGAACAGAAAGTGCACTCTAATTTCTGATGCAATGCTGCTTATCTATTTCTTTGCGAAAGGACGTCGACGCTCTGCCCCGCACTCCAATTTTAAAGTTTCGTGTTTCCGGCGAAGCTGAAACTATAGAATTGGCCACGCTTATGAAAAGCTCGACTTAGATTTCGTCATCCAAAATGATGGAAAAAGGCCCTTGCCCTTTAGGAGTTACTCTCTCCCTTTCTCAATGTCTTATTCATCTCTCGCTTGCTCTCCTTGTATTCAGCGCATCCTTGCCGCTGTCCTTCGAGCCATTCGTTTTTTTTGCTCTTCCTCTCTTTTTACTCTTTAACTGTATTTTCATATGAACTATTGCCGGCTTTACGAGGTGTCACTCTCTTTCTCTCCCTTGAAGCAGTAGTGCTTTTTTAGCGGGAAATATTCTAAAAACTAAAATAAAACTAAAACCACTTGCTAAAAAATTACGTTAAACTGTATTTTATTAATAAACTGAATTGAATTTCAAACGCGACAAAAATAGAAAAGTAATTTACAAAACATGCAAATATATAAATTAAATTTAAATTTTATTAAAATATGCCCAAATTTATATTCCAAAAACATATCAGTACAATAGCTATATTGGCACAGCTATTCAGAGCCGGCTGCGTTTTTGGCGCGCTCTCGCAACGAGGCGCTCGCCGAGTATTTAAACAGCCGTCTGGCAAACGCTCTTCACAGTTGCTCTTTGGTCTTCGCGCAATCCACCCGGTTTTCGTGGGAGGTACCTCCGATTTTTGGTAGCCAGCAGCGCTACGGTTGAAGTGTTGGCATTATTGAAACGATTTTTCGGCCAAAAACACCTATTCAAGGCGACCGATCGGGAGAAGTGTTTGATTTACGCGGCATTTCGTGTACCGTCAGCACTCTAGAAAAGGAAGAATAAAAGTAAGCTATAGAACGCGTGTACGAAAACCAGCAATTTGAAATTGTACAGTCGGCGAGAAGGGAAACGAAACGGAAAGAGGGCGACGTGAAGCACATGGCAGAAACAGAAAAATTGGGTTTGTCTGAAAATAGCAGAGGCAGAGTGCAACCGTCACACACATGTGTTATGTATTCGAAATTCAAATAGAAGCCACGAAAAAAATATATATGTATAATTAATTGACATTGTCAAAAAGTGTAGTCTAGGTGAGAAGGTGAGAAAAAAGCGGCTTCAAAAATAACCACAGTGACAATTATAACCACAATTAAAGCGGAAACCTTTTCACAAAACCCAACAGTTTCGACAGTCAAAAAAAACGTTCTTATTTTTTTGTTGGTTGGACACGCGTGCAATGAGACGTCTACGTCAACATGCCCACGTTGCACCTGTTCCGTTGTTTGCATTCCGGCTATCAACATTTTCCACCAATTAAATTTTCCTTTTTGATGAACTTATTTTATTCTAAGCTATGAATGGAATATTTGCATTTTCTTAAATGCCCGCGCTTTCCACTGCGGTTTTAGTTGTTTGTATATGCGATAGTTCAATGGCTGCGTATAGGTTTCCCCATTTGAATTGCTGATGTTCCACGTTTTCTGCTAAATTGCAATACGTAATTTACCTGTAATTGAGCATTTAGCCAAGGGAAAAATCCCCTCAATGCCAGCAGACCAAAAACTGGGAGAAAGGCACAAAAAGAAGGTATTACTATCAGACCTATGTGCACACGTCAATGCAATAACCTCACCCACACTGTCTAGTGCACTCACCCACTTTTAGACCGAACCGAACTGACTCATCAAGGACATGGCCAAAAGAAATTCAGGCCAAAATGGGATGGGTGCACAGAAAAAGTATAAACATATGTGATATTATAGGAACGACAAAGGTTTTCTTTATTACTCATAATTAAAATTTTTAAAGTTCAGTCTTATTTTATTTTAAGTTTTTATTTATTTAACGATTCATATAACCACAAATTAATAAATCAAGTCATAAATTATTATTAATTCTATTTATCAGATATCAATAATACAGGCTTTATTTTTATTATAATAAGATGTGTTCAAACCAATTCTTCATTCTTCTTTTTATGCCTCAATTAATAGCATTAATATTTTTCGTGCCAATATTTTACAGTTCTTTAAATTAAAATTTTTTTTTGTCTGTCCAACGATTTTTTCATGAGAGGTGTGTTCTTAGCCATATCTTTACGATATAACCATTTTCCGCGCAAGTTGTGTTATTGATTTTGGTGCTATTGTTGTTGTCGGTAAATTAACATAACAGAAATTTACAAGCAAAAGTCAAAGACGCAGTAAAACTGTGACGTCAGAGACTGGAGTCCAACTAAAAACAGTGGGTGAAAAACAACAAAAGAAAGGGAGAGGTAAAAATAGACAGGGAGGGAGAGAGTGTGGGTGCAACTGTTGATTGCGTAGGCGGCCTTCGAGGCATTTGACGTTTTCTAAGAATAATAAATCTATTTAATGTGTTTTTTGGGTATTGGAATTTTAACTCAAGCTTTTACAGTTGCAGTTGAACCTAAAAGTATTTTAGGTAGCTCTTTTAAAAAATATATGGGGCTCATGGTATTTAGTGTTACCTTAATGTATGTTATTTTGACTTATAAAATTTGTTTTAGTGTATCGAAAATTATTTATAGCTTTGATTTCTGGTCACTATGTGCTTATGCAAGGGTATTTAGATCGATGTCTTTGCCCCATTATTATCCTACAATGCTGTTTACTGTTATTCTTGCTGTCCATCTTTTGCCTCCGCTCGTTTGTCCACATTACCCATTTGCGCAATTTGCCACCAGACATAACACTTGACCGCCTTGCCCGTCTCAACTGACCGGACAGGAATTGATTTATATTTAGACGCAACTAATTTCCGTAACACCTGAGAAGGTCGTTTTTTTTATCAGGTTGCCATTTTCCCCCCAAATCGATTGGACCATTGAACGGCAGCCACAAACGGCTGTTCGATAAACAACTTTCCAATAAAAAGTGCCGCTCTAAGTGCAGAAAACAATTACCAAAAAAAAAGTTCAATAAAAACCATATTCATATAGCCACACAACACATTATCTAAAACGATAATGTGACCTTTGCGGCGGCTTGCGTGTGCTGTTATCAGAATTGGTATTATGCAACGACCACATGCAAACTCTCCAATTGCTGTTAATTATTTTAAAAACCTTAAAAAAGCACTGGAAATTGCATTTGCTTCCCAAAGCTTCTATAGATAAGACGAAGCGGACGAACCGGAGGTTACGACAAACAGATACTGCAGTTTTTTTTTTTCTGACTAGTGTCTCTGCGTTGATAAGAAGACATTAAGGGAACTCATTGGGGGCTCTATTTGAGCAGCAGTTTTTCATTGAGTTTCTCTGCATATGGAGGTTGGAACACCTTTCTATTGACGTACATGTCAGACAGATAGTGATCTTTGAGATCATTAAAACAAACGTCGGAAAACAGCTGCCTAAATATATTTTAAGATTTAAAGATCTACAAAGGGAAATTACAAATTGACCTAGAAAACTTTTTTTTTGTAATAAAACGAACCCAGATACATAAAAATCATTTAGGAACGTCTGACCTAGAGAAAAAATATGGGTAATACACCACTCCTCTTCAATTATGTTTCTTGTATTTTTTATCAGTCTTTCCCCCAGTCATGTTGATAGTCATAACCTTGTTTGCTTCCAAGAACCATGTTCTATTATCACTAACATTCCTTAAAAACCCATTTACAAAAACTAAGTGTATGGCACTTTTTGAACTCGCGTTTCATTTGAACATGACTCCCCAAAATAAACTTGCATACGTAACACCCTAAGGGGGGAGAAATCAAATACCTTTTTTGTTGACCACTAGATAAGGAGAGTCAACTTTCCCGTTCCATAAAACTCATGCGGCAAATGCATTCCACGAGTACAAAAAAAAACCCCCTAAAGTTTTGGCTGATGAAATGTTAGAAAAGCTTTGCAGCACTCGACGCTGTGATGAACTTGAGGCTAAATATAAACAGATGTTCCCAAGAATGAGAGTATCGTGTTAGTCTTACGCAGAACGCACTCGGATGCCGTGTTGGAAGTGACGGCATTATCGGAACTATTACCCACATCCTAAACGTTTTGCTGATTTCCTATTATTATGAGTCACGCCTGACGACGATATCTGGCTAATGAGGGCGATAAACATACGAATTTGTCAAAAAGTCTAAACTACTTTTGAAGGTTCGTTTGAAATGGCATTATGTCTGCTATGGGTAGATCTAAAAATAAATCCACAGCAACAAAGTCGAAACACGTGGTTTTGTTTAAGGCTGAGGGGCTCGACCGGGTGGGTTTTGGCTATATAATCGCTCTCGGCATATTGGGATGCTGCTGAATAAAAACCAAAGAGTCTAAGAGAAAAGCAGACCGAAATTTCAAATTTCAAAGAGTTTGAATTTATTTGCCAGATGTGGTTGCATAGTATTTTTATTGCAATTCTCACGCTCGCATGCCATTAACAAGATTCTTTGTTTTCATTTAGCATGACTTACAAATAATGCGGCATTACTTTCCTTAAATATTTTGCATTGCAGAGATTTTGATATTCAAGGTTTAAATTTGGTTTTTAGTGATCTGTCACATTTGGCAGGAAGATGATAATTGCCAAAGACTATATATAGAAAAGTATTCAAAAACAAAATGATTTCTTAAAGACTTGCATCTTAACTGAGTGAGAATGGGTATTTTTCAATGTAGATACATTGTAACATTTGTAAAACTAATTAGTGCCTTAATTAGACCTGATAATGTGAACCACAAATCAATAGCACATTGATATATTTTTGTAATTGGTATATCATGTGATAACAAATTTGTTATTAATTTTATGATCACTTTTGAAGGGCAAATGCTAGAGCAAATAGACGGGTTAACAAACTAGCTATTTTGTAAAAGTGAAAGAAAAGGTAAACGCACGACCTCATCCAAGCAATTTCAATTGAAACAAGAAAGAAAGCAAACTTCGGCAAGCCGAAGTTTATATACCCTTGCAGCTATTGCAAGAATTAAACATTTTTGAAAACATTAAAATTATAATTTACTTGCGTATAAGTTTAAAAACATTGAAGCTATGATGATTTGCAGCTCAATTATTTGATAGTTATTTTTTATATTTTTATTGTTCCTATGGGAGCTATATGATATAGTCGTCCGACTTTGATGAAACTTAAACCGTAAATTGGAAATATTTAACCATTACTAAATGTCGAAGAACTAAACAAAAAATTAAAAAACAGAAAAGTTATAATTTTTTTTCATTTATTTCTCCGATTGTTCCTATGGGAGCTATATGATATAGTCGTCCGACTTTGATGAAATTTAAACCGTAAATCGAAAATATTTAACCATTACTAAATGTCGAAGAATTAAACAAAAAATTAAAAAACAGAAAAGTTATAATTTTTTTCATTTATTTTTCCGATTGTTCCTATGGGAGCTATATGCTATAGTCGTCCGATTTTGATGAAATTTTTACCATAATTCTGAAATATTTAACCATTGCTTTATGTCGAAGAACAAAACAAAAAATTAAAAAACAGCAAAGTTATAATTTTTTTTCAATTATTTTTCCGATTGTTCCTATGGGGGCTATATGCTATAGTCGTCCGATTTTGATGAAATTTAAACCATAATTCTGAAATATATAACTATTGCTATATGTCGAAGAACTAAACAAAAAATTAAAAAACAGCAAAGTTATAATTTTTTTTCATTAATTTTTCCGATTGTTCCTATGGGAGCTATATGCTATAGTCGTCCGATCCGGCTCGTTCCGACTTATATACTACCTGCAATAGAAAGACAACTTTTGGGAAAGTTTCATGCAGATAGCTTTAAAACTGAGAGACTAGTTTGCATATAAACGGACGGACAGACGGACAGACGGACAGACGGACAGACGGACGGACAGACGGACGGACAGACGGACAGACGGACATGGCTAGATCGACTCGCCTAGTGATGCTGATCAAGAATATATATACTTTATAGGGTCGGAGATGTCTCCTTCACTGCGTTGCAAACTTCTGACTGAAATTATAATACCCTCTGCAAGGGTATAATGATGCAATCGAGTTTTATATTTTTCGGCAGTTCCCGATGCCCTGTAATTGTTCCCAATGTCGGATCAGTTTGTATATGTTTAGGTTCGATTTTAGCTGTATCATGCTTTTTGCTCACGCAACCGAAATAAATGATAATGTCGAGACGAGCACATGTACATATATCTTTCGATACATCGGCCAAACTAGTTCGCACTGGTTTTGCGGGAAAAGTAGTGAAAACTATGCGATAAGAGCAAACATTTGGCATGACAAACGCCAACTAAAAATATAGAAGCAGTAAAACAAAAAACTAAAACAACATACTACCAAATGTGTGCCAACCAACTTTTTTTTTTTTTTTTGGGACTTCACTGGGTGAAGGTTTTTTTTTCGTTGGCGCTGCCAAAATATTGTGTGTGCCGCAGATATGGCGTTCTCTAAAAATTTGATTCATTCATTGAGCGATAGTGCTGGTCAATGTTGTGCTTCTATATCTTATCGTGGTATTGAGTGCCATGTGTGTGATTTCGAGCTGTGACGCTTTGGTAAGATAACTAATAAATATATGAACCAAACACGATAGTACCTTTCGATGGTTGTAAATGGATGTAACAGACAAAACAGCTTCGTTTGGAAGATGGATGGGCACTCTTGAGGGGGCTTATCTCGCACTCCGCGGACCCTTGAGCAGAGGTCAGGCCAAGTCAAGTGGGAGGTCGTTCAACCTAGTTGCGAAACATGGCCAAAACAAACGACCTAAAGCTAAAGACATCCGAAACTGTCTACGCCAGCGTCTGAAAGCTCGAAATTTATATGCAAAAATGGTAAACAGAGAAAACGAATGTATGCACGTATATATATATTATATGTAATTTTGCGCGAAACAGAACCAGCTTAAGACGCAATATAACCCCAAAGCCGGACCTCGATTCAAGTTCTTAAAAATGCCCAACACCCTAGAAAAATCAGTACTAGTAAAACTCATTTGGGGGCCAGTCCAAAGATCCAAAACCCTCCCACTCAGCACATACTTGACATATTTACTATGTGTGTGAAATATGGCACATGTGACTGGGATTTAGCGGATTAATAATAGAACGGGGACACAAAAGCCGCAACGCAAAAGGAAAAACCAATTAAACGAAATATGTCATCGAGAACACAATACATGCGACAGCCAAGGGACTAAAAATAAAACTCATTAGAGCAGGTTTAAATGAACGAAATTATGTTCAATTGCTTCCCTGATAAATTTGCATACAAATTGCCGAAAATGCTTTCACATTTTTATACGAATTTATTTTCATAAATTAAAGACAAACGCCTTAAATTGAAAGTGAGTCGCACAAAACAATTAAGGGGCAATTGAACTTTTGCATATTCGAATATTTCAGCCACAAATCGCAGACAATTAAATCAAATCAAAAGATGCTGTCCGTTCGTTTACTCAATAAAGGGGATTCTATTAGTTTGGATCTGGAAATAGCCAGTTCGAATTTAAAAGTGTCTGGGCGCCACAATCTCAATTAAAATTCATTATTAAATCAATAAAGGCTTGTTCTACACGGAAAATAAAATATGATCTTAAATGGATATCAATTGGCTATTAATTCACTTTTAAAAAGTTGATCTTTTGATGTTTTTACTGGAAATAAATGATACACAACTTGGTTTCGGAAAAACAGAATAAAGTATATATTATTTTCCATGAATTTCTAACTTATACAAATTTGCTCTTTTTCCTTTGCAGTTTTTTAACTAAGGAAAAGAAACAGCGGCTTTCAAAATGGTTAATATTGTGGTGAGCATTTCTTAGAACCTCAATTGAGCAATTACCTTTATTAATTGTTAAATTATTTTGGACTTTATAGGACAGCGGCTCAAAGAATGCGCCCCAGGAAATGGAGCAATTCCTGCCCGGCGAAGGAAAAGTCATGTGAGTATCTTTTGGTCACCGGGCTAAAAATATGTCGCCTAAATTGCTGGTGTGGCATGTTTGCCAATTAAGTTTACGAGTAGATTAGTGTCTCTATGTCTCGCTAATTGGCCTTTGATGTGGCGCCGGAAATTGAGACTAGAAATTCTTTTAAGACTTTAAAGTCAGGCACTCTGACTCGAGTAGCTGAGATTGATTGCAATTATCAATTAGTCTGAGTAGCGGATCTGTAAAGAGTTATTAAAAGATTCGAGGGCACACTTGATAACTAGTTTAGGTTCCCTAGATGTTTAACTCTATAATCAAACAGTCTCTTGCCTTCTAATAAGCACAACTCACGTAAACTTGTGTCGAGCCGAGTCGCACTACCTAATATAAATTCCTACTGTAGAGCGCAATAGAAATAAATCAAAAACAAAATCACTTACGTACATTTAAGCGCTTTTGTTAATCAATTTTGTGAGATAACTGCCAAGTTCAAGGCGATGACAGATTTTCAAAATATTTATGCATCCATTTGCTGACGTGGGACGAGTATCGATTTTCCTGATCTGCCTTCAGATGCAAATATTATTGTTGGGAAAATAAACATGAAAATAAAATGTGAAAACAGTTCAAGCGAATGGAGAAGGCGTGAAATAAATTAGCAAATGTTATGACAATATTATCAGGCACACGTGTAGACCTTTCCTCATTTTCAGATGATGACTTTCAAACTAGATTTGTAGGAGATATTACAAATAGAGAATAAGCAGAGAATATTAATATGTGTTTGCCTTGCTCCTGTCATTCAAAATATTATTTTGATGACGCTGCAAATACTTATAGATTGAATCAATGAACTTAGCTGATAATCCTAGTTTTGTTCTTGAACTGATAGTGAAGGGAAAGGGGTTTTGAATATCAGCAATTATCAGTAGACGTATAGTTAAGTATACGTGTTCTAAAAATGCGCTGTCATTTAAAAAATTTACATCCGGGTTTTCAAAATGCCAATCCATGTTGCGGGTATTATTTAAGATTTCAGCTACAGCTTCAGCTATCAACAACTTTTCTAGATGATTTATATTTCATTATTTTTAAATATTTTAAAATATATGTATTTGGGAACTCGTGATTCCAAGTGTCATGGAAAATGCTAGTGAAAGTAAGTTAGAATAATCAAAAATAAATTAAAAAGCCAATTAGTCACCATAAGTAGTCAATCTTAAATGTTGTTAAAATTTCATTTTAGATAAGCCAGAAGTTAGAAGATTTAATTTTATATGTCAAGTCGAAGCATATTTAAGAATTTGAAAATGTAGCTTTGGTGTATATTTTTACGATAACCTCAGGTTCTTTGGACTATATAGCATACCTTGGGGAGCTTCTTAAAACTGGGCTTGCGAAATTTTCGCAGTATAAAGACAGGCTGAGGTTTGCAGATTGCTTTTATGGCTGATGCAACTGAATCGGAAAATCGAGTCAGGCACTCTGGAATGGATCGGAATCCATAGATTCCGTCAATTGGCCAGACCAGGCCAATCAGAAACGGCCTGACCAAATTCGGCCGGCAAAATGCCTCCGACTGCAGCAGCAGTTTTTTCTTTTTGTTTTTTCTCTCGATGGACATTAAGTTACCAGTGTAGTATTATGAGCCGACGGCCGACAAGTGTAATTGCAGATGCAGCAATTCCGTGGCAAGGGAATTTCACTGTCAGCATATAAGAAACCGCTGCAGTTCCGTGGCGAGTTTCAGTTTTGCACAGACGATCGAACCGAACAGCATGACAATGGGCGACTCAGAACCCACCAATGTGGAGTTGAGGTGGCCAACTAAATTGCGTCTTTCCCTCACATAAATTCCCTTACTAATGCTTTCTTCTTGTGTTGATGTGTTGATCTTACAGGTACAAAATCCAACCCCGCAAGTCGGATACCGAGCAGGCCTTGGCTGGAAATGACTTCGATCCGTTTGCCCTGCGAGACAATGAGCATCCCACAACGTAAGTTTTATACTTTTTTACTTTTTTGAATTAGAAATTATAACAAATTTGTTTTCCCCTATAGTGATGGTGAGACTCTCACGCATTTGCTTAAGGCCTCTTTGGGCACTGGCATCCTGGGAATGCCGGTCGCTTTCATGTACTCCGGTATCGTTATGGGAATTTTCGCCACCATTTTCACCGCCTTCATTTGCACGCACTGCAGTTACATTCTGGTAAGTGGTAGCAATATGATGCAAATTCTAACTTAAATATGGCTAATATTAATTATTAAGAATATTCTGCTTAGCTTTAAAATAATATATATTACTATTGCATTTTCAAACGAGCAATTCACATACTCATTTTTTGACTCTTATGACTCGTCAAATGAGAAATAGACTAATGAGTAATAGACTTTGAATATTTGTACGTCGATTTAATTGTAAAAAGCAAAAAATTTTACAAATGTTATATATTTAAGCTGTCAAGTGAATCCACTCAAGTTCTAATTTAAATTTACAAACATATTAAAACATAACCCAAGATCCATAAATTAAAAGCCTTTTAATTATGATTAATTTTTTTATTGAAGGAAATAACTGAAATAAATACCTGAACTCTATTGCGTGCCCACTAATCTAATAAGTTATTTATCTTATTATCGACAGGTTAAATGCGGTCACAAGTTGTACTACAGGACACGTCGCACCAAGATGACCTTTGCCGAGATCGCCGAGTCAGCCTTCCAAAAGGGACCCAAATGGTGCCGTGGATTCGCCCCGGTGGCCAAGTTCTCGATTCTGTTTGGACTGTTCCTCACCTACTTTGGTACCTGCTCGGTGTACACGGTGATCGTGGCCTCAAACTTTGAGCAGTTGATCAACCATTGGACGGGAACGGTGATTAGTCTGCGCCTGCTCATTTGCGCACTGCTGGTGCCCCTGATCCTGATCGCCTGGGTGCCGAATCTCAAGTACCTGGCACCCGTCTCAATGGTGGCCAATGTTTTCATGGGCCTGGGACTGGGCATTACGTTCTGGTACCTGGTGCAGGACTTGCCATCGGTGGAATCGCGCGAGTTCGTGACTTGGGGCACACTGCCGCAGTTCTTCTCGATCACCATTTTCGCAATGGAAGCCATTGGTGTGGTCATGCCGCTGGAGAACAACATGAAGACGCCGCAGAGCTTCCTCGGTATCTGCGGAGTGCTCAGCCAGGGCATGTCCGGCGTGACCCTCATCTACATGCTGCTGGGATTCCTCGGCTATCTGCACTACGGCAATGACACCAAGCAGAGCATCACCCTGAATCTGCCCATCGAGGAGTGGCCCGCCCAGGCGGTGAAGGTGCTCATCTCCCTGGCCGTCTACTGCACATTCGGACTGCAGTTCTTTGTGTGCCTGGAGATCGTGTGGGACGGCATCAAGGAGAAGTGCACAAAGCGTCCGCTTGTGGTCAACTATGTGCTGCGCACGGTGATGGTGACTGCCGCCGTTGTCTTGGCCGTGGCTGTTCCCACAATTGGCCCATTCATGGGCCTCATTGGTGCCTTCTGCTTCTCCATCCTGGGATTGATCTTCCCGGTAAGTAGTCCCGGTTATCAGTAGCTTTAGTTCAAGTTTTCCATTAACTTATCGAATATCGGTTTGATTTTCAGGTGGTCATTGAGCTAATTGTCCATTGGGAGACTGGTTTCGGTAAATACAACTGGATCCTGTGGAAGAACATCGTCATCATCTTGTGCGGCATTGGAGCCTTGATCTTTGGTTCCCTGGCAGCCATCAAGGACATTCTGGCCACCTACAGTCCACCAGAAACATCGATAACCCTGAAAAATTAAAGAGAGGATGCCTACATCTACGTTATAGATATAGGAACCCACAGCTGAGAAATCATCTAACTATTGTTAGATGTAAAACTGCGCCCACATCTTGTACATTTTGTCTGTTGCTTAGTGTGCCTGTTTGAGAACCGAAAAGGGATTAACTAAGCGAGTGCCTACCACTATATTTAGCACACTCTTGAGCACCACTATGCCGTTTTAGCACGTTTTAGTACACTTGCAATTATATCGAGTAGAGAGAAAGCTAGTTGATGGCCGTTTAGAACACTTTTAGAACAGACCTAAATGATTCAGGCGGCATTCAAACTGGAACTGTACTAAGTGCACTTCATTCGTTTCCTATTGATGTTTGTACGATTTAGTACAGAGCTATAAAAGACTTATGTAGCACCCAGAAAAAACTAGCTGCACTCACCACCTCGTCCCACCCCCACCCTTTCTCTCTGTTCTAAAAGAGTATTACTAAAAGCAAATAACCAAAACTGAAGTCATCTTTTCATGCCTCTTTCCCCTCACTTTTATTTTGTTCCGTAGCAAATGATTTGCCCACAATTATTTAACTTTTTAGCATGTTTAGTTCGTAAGCGTAAGATGGATTGTAAAGAAGATTTTGCAATCGAATCAGTTCCAAATACGATGAGCTAAGATTACTCAAAGAATACCATTTTTATACGAAATCTAGCCGAGTAATAAGTTACATTGAATTGCCCCGATATTCATTATACATATGTAAACATGTTTTTTGTTGCATACATATATTTTTGTATTTTAATTATAGCTATTAAAAAAGAAATACTTAGCAAAACTATAAAGTAAAAAATAATAGAAAGAAACACAAGATGAAACATTTTATTTTGCATTTATAATTCTGTGCAGACAACGAAGCAGATTTATGTGTAAAATGAAGAAAAGGTTAACCGCCGACTTATCTGTCAGCTGTATATATGTATATTGATATGAACGCAACGAGTTCTAAGTATATCTGCCCAGAAAAGTATTTAGAGTTGTCCATAATACATATTCAGATGAACAAAGATTGATATGAAATGTTTACTTTTTTGAAAAATGTTTAAATTGTAAACAAAACAAAGATATAAATATACACGAAAAATAAAATATGAGAATGTCAACCGAAAGAAAGTTTTTGTACTTGTACTTACTATCCATTTGAAAACCACTTCAACTAATTGTAATTTGTTTTTTAGGCGACCCTGAACTTTTCTTGCCTTTTTACCCTGCGGGTTCAAAAAGCGTGGCACTTGCTCTGACCGTTTCGGAATATCCATACGCTCAATGGCTGAAAAACCAGCTCGAACCACTTCAATTACCAACGACTGAACTGAGTAGTCATTTGTTAATTGGAAACAAGTGGACAATGGACAGGGGCGAAGCGAATTCGTTTCGCTGATGTTATTTTCACCAAGTTGCTTGTTCGAGATCCCACACAAAAAACCACCAAACCTATTGCTCGTGGGCAAGGGGCAAGTTCAAACATTACGGGCAATTGAACTCGTCTTTTGGCCAATTAGGTAACCTCCAAGGCGAAGATGTGGACCACAGACGACCACGGGCCACCACGATCACTCTTTTTCGGAGATCGGTTCGATGTCAGATCGTGTTCGTGGTATTGGCCTGTCATCTTTTTTTGTGACAAGATGCAAATTGGAAAGGCCTGGGAATGACTGTCTCGCTTGGCAGAAGAGCCAACTTATCCTTGACATCGAGTTTGGACCATTTGTGATGGGTTCGATGAGCGAGCCCCTCCAGGAAGCTCGAATCTTGGCCAATTAGCGACCGCAACAATTCGGTTTGGGCCAACAATTGAAAAGCAGCCGCAATAGTTTTGAACATGCCCGAGGTCCAAGGCTGGCGATGATTTAAAATAATTAATCTCTGGCCGGGTCTCCTCAATGGCTGGATGTTACTACGGTGCGATGTTGTTGCATCTTGATTGAGCCAAGGTCTGAATCTTACAATCTACTAAACTGCAGAAGCTGAATCGCTTTTTGTGTGGTTTTCGCTGCTCTGTCTATTGTAATTTGTAATGTTAAACCTTTTTCGGTGGCGATTGTGCAATCGAAATTACAATTACAATTGCCTTTTTTTGTGTTCGGAATTTCAATTGATCTATTCGTAGGCGTTCTTATCGCCATCCGCTATCTTGGCCTTACTTTCTCCAAGTTTTGCATTATACATTTATGCTGGGTCTACTTTTTACACGCTTGTATTGTCACATTTCTATGGCATATATGCCTTTGAAATATTTAATTATTTGAAAACGGAAGCGTGGGAATATTAGGTCATTTGAGGCATTTATGATTTAAAATATTCACCTTGTTCAAGTTAATGTTTACTACCTGAAAATGATAAATATAAAACCAATCATCAAGCCTACCTTTAGCAACAAGTTTTTTTATGTAGTGTAAAGTTTAAATGTTGAAAAGTTGATTGATGAATACCGAAAATTTTATGATAAATGTTGCTTATTTAATTTGATGAGTTGGAGACTACTTTTAGATAAATTCATCATAAATCTATTTTACTGTTTAATCGTTAATGAGTTATGTTATATGTTACCTACTTATCAAACATGTTTATTTACAAAAAACTAAATATATTTTTAATAATAATAATAATATAGTCAATTATCCTAGAAGAAAGACCTTTCAAGCATTCACCCAGTGTTAATCCACTTTCACAATACCTTCAAGGCCCTAACGCCAATAAATCGCATTATTTACAAAAACCAACTTTTCTGACATGAAAAGAAAACATCAAACCTCAACCTCTTGAGACAAATAAGCAATTCAACAGCAAGTGGCTGGCAAAAAGCGAAGGCAAGAGGAAAAAAAATTACACAAATATTTAAAATAATAACGAAAACAATCAATAAATATGAAACGTTTATGAAAAGTGTTGACTTGAGGGCGCAATCAACAACAACAACTGGAAATGGGCAAAAACAAAAGGTTCGAACAATCCAAAGCAATCCAATTCAGCCATTCACTTTCGAGACAAGAAAAAGGTTGTTGTGGAAGCATACAAAATTGCCCATGTCCAAGAAACCAGTGTAATTATGTATAACAAAGATGTACGAACAGGCACCAAGGGATCTCTAAGCTCTGCAGACTTTCAAGTCAAGTAGCCGACCCATCGTCCCACTATGAATTTGGATTTGGTTTTGCTTTTTGGTAAAGGAGGAGGGTAACCATAGAGATTAATTGAGGCAATTCGGCGAAAATGATTTTGCTGCCACTTCCAGTTAAAAACCGCAAATAAAACTAACTACGGCGAGAAGTTGGTTATATTAAGTGCCGTTCGTATTTGAAAATCAAGTAAAAGCAACGGGAAATCATTCAGGGTTCGCAGCCTAAAAATAAAACTGCTGCTGACTTTGCTTTGCTTTTCACGATGATAATAATGATGATGATGAGCGCGCCGGCAGAAAACGTCGGCAGAGGGCACCCGCTAGTGGAGATCGGTTTTATGCATTTGCATTCATTATGTTTGGCACCGTCGACGCGACCACAACGTAACTTTAAGATCGGAGATCGGAACCGTAGATCGTGGCGTATATAGGCGACATAACCACTTACCAGGTAGCTTTGGCAACCGTCGTCACGTGATCGTGTCGCGATCGTTCTTTCTGCTCGTCATTCATCTGTCGTCTCGTCTTGTGCAATTGCCTGTCGAATGTCGAAGAAGAATATGTCTTGCATCTGGATTTGTGTACCGAGCTCTTAACGTTTGTCTGCAGAAGTCGAAGTCGAACTCGAAGTCGAAGTCTACAGAGCCGCGAGTGCCTGTCGATCAACTTGACCTTTCAGCAGTCAGATCAGGAAATTGCTCAAATTCCTGCATAAAAATGCCTTCCCCGCATGTGATCTTGCTGATCGTACAACTATATCTTTGCCTGAGTCCGGCTATAATTGCCCAAGACTTTGAGTTAGCGGAACGCAACCACAAGGTGTGTACGCCCAAAAACCTTCTCAGCTGTCAAATGCCATCAAACATCATACCATAAATAATTCTGTCAACCAAACCAATTTCAAGAAACGCCAAATCTATCGGGAACAAGTATTGCCACATGCGGGTGGTAAGATCCCAGACACCGCCTTCGAGACGGATCGCTTGTTTCTGAATCGCCTGCAAAAGGAGGGCATCGCAGTGCCAGATGGCATAGTGCCCGAGCAGCGGAACCCGCAGGTAAATATCAGCGGGAGTCATCCATTTTCCATTGTATTCATTTTCGGAAAGGCTTAGGCAATGATAAACAAAACTGAGCATCGTTAAACTATGAAACATACATCCTTGTTTAGATCCTTTTCGGCAAGGACTCGTGATCCAAATATAACTAAGGAACAAACATTTGACTGAAATTATAATACCCTCTGAAAGGGAATAATTTTAAAGGAACATAATAATGAAAAGTTAAGTGGATATTTGGATTAAGTAACAGCATTTTCAAAATAACTTCATTAAACACAATATTTTCTTAATTGTAATGTTCAATTAATAAACATATACACATTGTATATTAAAGTATCTAAGCACTTCTGCCGCTTTAATGAAAACGAAAAAATTGCAATGTTTGTCTTTTTTATTGTAAATTAAAATTCACTGTCAGCTTGGCAAATGAAATACATTTCGTAGTCGTAGCCATTCTCATTATACAAATCTCCGTTATTTATATAAAGCTTTTCATCTTCATCTTCACTGTTATTACTAATCCAATAGTCCTTATGAGAACTGAGATGCGCTGAAAGGGCTTTAAGCTGAGCTTTGTTTTTAATGGCCGCTAGATGTCCTCCCATGCCACGACAGGTGGATGCAGCATCATACCAATTTTTTCGTTTGGTTTGTACTATATAAGTTATTGTTTTTTGGGGCATAACACTTTCCGGATTGTTTTTGGGGTTGGGCTTCTGATTGTCTTCCATTTTAGTCAGGAGCGCTTGCAGACTGGTCTGCACCGCCAGAAATTGGCCCCTTATTTCTGCTTGTGTCTGCAGAAACTCGGGAATTTTTGTGTGCAAAGTCTGCTGATCACTTTCAATTCTTGACAACTTGTCCTTGGTTTTCTCGTAGCTATCAAAAACTGGATGCAAAGCGCTTAAACTGGTCTGCACCGCTAGAAGTTGGTTCCTTATTTCTGCTTGTGACTCCAGAAACTGGCTCCTCATTTCTACTTGTGTCTGCAGAAACTCGAGAACTTTTGTGTTCAAAGTCTGCTGATCACCTTCAATTCTTGACAACTTGTCCTGGGTTTTCTCGTAGTTATCAAAAACTGGATGCAGAGCGCTTAAACAAAACGCACCGCACTGCAATGGGGCATCTTGCAGGACGCACACGGATGTGCCGTTGTCCTGGATATCAGCCAATCGTCCTTGAACATTCAGCAAAATTAGGAAACAGATACAATTTATTGGCAACTTTAGCATTTTAAATAACTCCAACCATTCAAAGAGAACTTTCAAAACGTACTGAACAAACAACTATGAATAAAAAATTGCCGTTGAGTTCCAAAAATGGATACATATATGCATTACGTTATCACTGATATGATTTCTGGGAATTTTTGAATGCAATCTGCAAAGATTTATTTTGCACCTTTCACCTTTTTAAATTCTTATCTGTTTGTATAAACTGTTATATTTATTTTTTAAAAACTTAGGGGTCAACATCAAGTATACATTAAAATAATAATTTTTTTTGTTCAAATTTAAATAAACATTAGAGCAATATTTTTTTTAATTGCTTAAGCTATAACAAAATTCTACCGATCATAATGTTTTAAAGATCAAAAACCAATATATACAAACAAATGTTATACAATACATTTGCGTTTACATTTAAATGATTATAGTATTATTCGCACAACAATAAAAAACGTACGCCAATTAAAGACATATCAAAGTAAAGATTTTTACCCGTTTTGTGCGATAATTTTTTTAAGTTCCGACGTACAAAAAAAATCAAAACTTAGCACATAAATAAAAAGTTAATAGTTCTCCAAGCTGTTGATTGATTTATTACCCACAGCTTATATTGATAGCAAAAAACAACTTGTTGAAGAATGAAATACCCATTATTTTATGGCAGTCCAACAAATATTTATCTTAGATGTTATTACCCACAGTTTGAATGCAATAACAATTAAAGGAAAAAAAAACATGTTAAATAATTAATTGTTTTCTAATGGTTTGAACATGAAAAATACTGGAAAAGCAATTAAAATATTTTACAATTATTATACATTTTAAAATATAAAAAAAAAAACTAGATTTTTAATGCTTTATTTCGCGGTATTTGTTATAGTTAAAATATACTAGTTATAAATTGGAAAATAAACTCGTTGTTTTTCTATCAGGTGTATCAGTACTACAACAAGCCCATGCGCACCGTCTTCCACATCGCCCTGAGTTCGGATGGAAGGTATACGCCGCGGGAGGGGCGATACCATTACCGCCAGGTGCCCACGGTGGAGACGACCTACCTGTATCCGCAGGCGGTGGGTCGCCAGCACGTGCTGGTGCCGCCGAAGCACGCCCTGCCCGTCTACCGACAGCTCCAGTTGCACAATCCACTCCTCAACCAGGTCAAGTTGCAGCCCAAGAAAAGTGAGTAGCGATTGCAGGAGATGGGGCAAGATTGGGGCATCCAATGCTCACATGCGTTCGCCCTATTTTAGTGCCCAATTTTCTGGAACTGGCGCCCACGGTCGGCAAGAGCCATACAAATCCATTGGCCGGATCGGCCAAGGCGCAGTCTTATCAGAATGTGAATCTCCTGCATGGTCACAGTTCGGTGCTGCCGGCATTCAAGAAAACCTCCAGAGGCAGCAAGACCTATGTGGACAGCTATGGCACAACCCATGTGAGTAGGGGTAGGGTAGTAGTCACTGTGCCTGCTGAAATTGTAATACCCATATGTTCATTTAGCTCTTCAGCGAATTTGATGATCTGCTGAACAAACTGGACTTGCAGCAAACGACCCGCAAGAACTATTAGTTTTAGAGCTGTTCATGCCCATCTTTAGTAGAATTTATATGGATATATGGCAATTATGATCATCTCTAGCCAAGAGTTAAGTTTACAAAGTGGTTGGTAACCATTATCCAACCATGTGCATATCATTTCAAAACTTTTGCCATACGCCCGCTCACCGATTAGTGCATTCCCATTCCCATTCCAATTCCCATGTTTGCAAGCAATACAAACAATACATGCCCAGCCCATACACGGAAAAAAATATTAATTTAAAACTTATCTTCCCAGATCAACATTTCATTGTAAGGTTGTTTAATTTTTTTATGGAATACGAAATATGCATTCACAAATATCAGTTGACATATTATATCAAGGAAATAAATGCATTAGTTATGAATGGATGAATTTTTTGAATTTCCTTCATAGTTGGTTTCTTGAAAATGTTATTAATTGTTCTTAAAATTATTGTTGGGCTTAAGATTCATAGAACTTACAAGCCATTTTAAATTCCGTTGTTATTTTATGTACATGTACATATTGGTACAAAATAGATCCAAAAGGATCTATTCTTGATAATGTAATGAAATGAAATAATACTGACCTTATCTCAAATGTATCTACTTTATTTAAACACAACATTTTGAAAGAGTTTTTAACTTGAATGTTATTAAAAGCTATATAAATTTGGTTCTGTGTAGCCAGTTGCATCCACATCCACATGTACATCCACATGTACATCCACTCATCGCTTGCCAACCCATCCACATGTTATGCCGGGCCAAGTGAAATGTGAATTCATGGCTTTTAGCTAGTTAAGCGTAAACAATTTGTATCTTGCAAAATAAACCCAGCCCGAGAGCTGCATTGTACTTTCCCACATCAGTCGTGTATCATAATTATGTGTGGGGAAGAGGGAGCCATAAGCTTCGAGCGGTTCGTTTACTTTGGCAATAATTGAAGCAGAGCTAAGTAATTTGCCAATTTGGACTGGAAAAGCTTGGGCCAACAGCTTCCAGCATAGCGCAAAAATCGAAACTGTTACAGCCGCCATACAAAAAACAAAAATCGGATCGGTACCCTTGAAAGCTCCATGCTCAAGTGGTTGCCGCTGGAAAACTGCAGCTCAGTGTGTTTTTCAAACCCAACTCGGACGGTCGTCGCTTCCAACTTCAACATCCAACACCAACGTAGGCGGAAAAGTATAACCAACATAATGATGCCCAAGCTGGGATGTTTCTCTTTTTGGCTTATGCTCGTGATCGGAGTCGCCGTGGCCATTGAAGTTCAGGTGAGGATTGAGGATTGAGTGTATAATTATGCTGAGAAATTGAGGAATCAATTAAGAGAAGCGTGCACCACCCCAGTTGACAAAGCTCTGGTTGTCTTGGCCACGTTCACTTTTGACCCAAAAATTGTAACATGCAATCTATGTACATATGTACCATACGAGTGGTTATAATAAGGCAGTGGGGAATTGGGGGTACGGGTACTGGTATCAAAACCAAACCGGATTGGGGCACGAGCTCTCGTTGTCTCGTTATGCAATGGCCACATTTGATATTTGATATGTTTACAGAAATTCGGATATCTATTCAATCCGCCACAAGCGGAACACTCGCAGCATCATGACGAGAAGCAAGATCTAAACAAGATACCCGGAGTTCCGGGCGTCGACTATCCGGTTTACCATGAGGTGCCGCACACCCACTTCAGTTGCCACAATGTTCCGGCCACTCCGGGCATGTACGCCAATGTGGAGACGGGCTGCCAGGCCTATCACGTGTGCCACGATGGACGCGAGGGCGAACAGGGCGCCAAGTTCCTGTGCACCAATGGCACCATCTTCAATCAGAAGGAATTCGCCTGCGATTGGTGGTACAATGTCAAGTGCGAGGAGGCCACCAATTTCTACCAGTAGGTTTTGGACTTTACTTTTCGCTAAAATTTGTATTAACCCAGGTTATACGATTCCCAGCTTAAATGCCGATCCCGAGCACAATCCTTACTTTCCCAAGAAGAAGCCCGAACTGGAACCCTATGCCAATGATATCCATGATGCTCACAAGTTTCTGATACAAGCTTAACTCAATTTTCAATCGTTAATTTGTTTCTATTGTTCCCCATTTTGTAAATAAAACACGAATTTAACTATCATAGTTGGAGGCTATCATACAATCAATTAGAATAGGGCATGGCATACTTTCTGGCGGCACATTTTATATTCCTTATTTATTTTGGTAATTCGAAAGAAACACCCCTTTTGATTGTAATATGCTTCTAAGCGACCAAAAATTGGTCAGCAAGCTATGGGCTAAAATATCAAAAATAACATTATTTTTAAGAAATTAGCATATACATTTAGGATTAAACGATTTTTTTATTTAATTTATCAATTGTGGAATTAAAGGGTTTTTTTTTAAAGGTTACCGAAACCATTTTGGCTTAATAAAAAAGCTAATATTAAAAAAAAATTTAGAAAATCTTTGACGAATATTTATTTGCAAAAATATTCGTCACTTAAAATCTGTTTCATAAGCAACAAGATCGCTATCTTATCTGATTTATCTTATCTATCTTGTCTATTTTTCTATAAGTAATTAATAGTAAAAATAAAATAATTGAAACAGAAACGTTTAACCAAAACTTAAGAATTCAAATATGATAACGGATGCATACACTGTATATACTGGATTTCTGTTTGAGATCGACAATGTAGTATTTTTTGAAACTGCAGGGCCTTTCGGTATTTTCAAGCAGCTGCAGTCACTGCCTTACTAAAAACAATAGCAACATTCTCGAATAAAATCGCTCTCGAAAATAGAAATAAGTAGGAAAATGAATCTGTTGGACTTGCCGCAAACGGTGCTTCTGGACATCTTCGAATGGCTGCCCTACGATGAGGTGGCCAAAAAGCGAGAGGTGAGCTGGTCGATCTGGCCATCCCGGACGCAAATCTCTTGACCCGTGACTAAAACTAGACGTTTCCAATCTACATACATAGGTGTGCACACTTTTCAATTACATTGGCCAGCAAGTTTTGAATAAGGGCTTCAACAAGATCATTTTGGCCCATGCCAAGAACTTCAAGCGCATCAAATCCATGCTGCCACGTCGGGAGTCGGAACGCAGGTGAGTTCGTCACTTAATTCCGGATAAATCGAGATGGTTCTGAGGATGGTTTTCCCCTGTTTTTTCAGAAACCACATCCTATCCCGCCACTCGGACATACTCACCTCCATCGAGACACGCATTTCAATGCTGACCATGACGTATTCCAAGTTTATTGATCTCAACATCTGCTGCTTCATACCGGGTCGCGTTCTGGACGAGATCAACAGCATCCTGCGCATCCTGAGTACCTCCACCAAGCAGCTGCGACCACATGAAGTGCTGCAGGAGCTGCGCGACATCTCATCCATGGCCATTGAGCATTTTGACGAGAAGATTGCCGTGAATTTCAAGATGGAGCACCGGAAGCAACTGGCGGAATCGACGGCCGCCGGAACGCGTCTGGTGGTTTGCAGTGCCCTGGGTGACATAAGCTTTAGTGGCGTGAAGCGGACCGGAATCAGTCGCCCCGTGGACCATGCCCTCGTCCAGCAGGCCATCGTCCAGTTGGCCCCCATCTGCGCCAGCAAACCATCACAGCCGGAGACCGCGCAAAGGGATCGGGTCTCCAAGCACCTACTCAAACAGTACCAAATGCAAAGGACACTCACGCAAAAGATCCGCAACCTGGAGGTGGCGCGCAAGGTGCAGGATCGCCGCCTGCAGGAAGCCCTCTCCAGCATCACTGAACTGACCACCCAGGTGTCCGAACTGAAGCGCCAAATGGAGGATGTGGTGGCCAATATGCCAAGCTGTGCCGTCAAACGTCAGGCGGTGGCCAGTGCGGAGTGCATACCACCGCCGCAAAAGAAACCCAAGGTCTAGCCAAGGATTAGGTTTAAGAAATAGCTTAGGCAAACACAACAACCACTCCCATTCAGACAATTATTTTGCTAGTAGTTGGAGTACGTAGCATTAACTAAAACAGTGCAGCTTTGATATATCGCGTTAAGATTTATTGTTGCACTTGTTACTTAAATATTGTATTACTACTATATAAATACATTGAACATCTAGTGAAAAGTTCTCATTTACGCAATCGCAATCGCCTGTCCATAATGATGGATTTCGTCTGTATCGTTTTTGGGTTTGGTTTTGGTTTTGCCCAAACTGCACAACTGCAGTCATCGATAGTAACTCTGGCTTTCGTTTAGTTCGTTAGTTTGCTATTGTTTAGTGCTAAAACTACTGATCTAAGGGGGTGGCGGGGGGCGCGTTGTGGATATCTGGGCTCTGGTGTTCTATGATGCTATGGTAGTATTACTCGTTATCTTAGCGTATAAAAGGTAGTAGAAATTGCAACACGTTAGCATGGTTTCTTTGAGGGTCTCTGACTTAATCCGATAGCTAACTACGTACATACACTAGGCTCTCTATATACAATAACACAAATAGGGGGTTAATAACATTTTCGGGGAGGGGTACATATTGCATAACAAAAAAAACCAAATGGAAAACAAAATTCATTGCAAACTTCTTATCGACATATTGTGTATAAACTAGTCAAAGTTGAAAGCATTGCCACGTTGAAATGTAAGCAGTTACATCTCAATACATCCGATCCTACACTTCTCTTATCATACAGTTAGTAATAGTGTCAGTTAGTCAACTGGGAGATAAACGTTGCATAAATAGATGAGTGCTCAACGAATCCGTCCATCTATCAACGCGTAGTCAAAACTATATTTCACCCATTTATCATTTTAGCTGCTCTATAGCGATGGCGAATCACATACGTATACACATTTCGTTTTATATGTACATCAGCGCGGTGTTTCTAAGCCGTTTTCCTATCCGTATCTCTATCTGAATCCGTGTCTGTATCTGTGTGTGTATCTTGCGCCGCCGATTAGTAACGACGCCGACGATGCTACTTTTTCTTTACCGCCGCCTTGTGGCTAATCTTCTCCTGTAGTTGCCGTATTAGCTGCTGTATATCATCCACGTTGTACGCGTAGATAAGCTTGCATTGTTTGGCCTGGATGTTGCCGTTGTTGAGGTTCTTCAACGCATGCTGCAGGCAATAGATGTTGCCGTCCTCGGTGCGCACCATCGATATGTACAGGTTGGCGCGGCACAGGTCGCATTCGCTCTCGATCGACTTGTATGGCGGCTGCTGTTGCTTCTTGGCCTTCTGGCCCTTCTCCGCCTGCACTTTTTCGGTGGATGTCACTCCAGCAGCCTGCAAATCGATAATGTTTAATGAATAAGACAAATAAAACAATTCAATTTGTTGGAATACAAATTTAAAAAGAGTTTCTACTCACCCTAAGCTGCTCTCTGGCTGCCGATTCCTTTTCGCAAACATCATTGAGCATGGGCAGCATTTGATGCAGAGCATCAGAGTTGACGCGCTGGTCATAGCCCAGGGCAAACAACAACTGCTCCAGCGAGAACATGGCCGGCTCACAGCTCTCATGGATGTCCTAAAGGCGAGAAATTTATAAATTAGTTAATATTTATCTCTAGCCGCACACACAAACAACACAACACATACCCTAAAATCATCCTTGGCCAGATCCAACCACGACATGGTGGCGAAGTAAACGCTCTCGGAGACCACATAACCCGTGGCCAGGCTGGAGGTGTAGGCCCGCGGAAAGACCACAATGAACTCGCCCGGCTTCTGCTCGATGCGGCACAGGGATACGCCCCGATCCGTTAGCATGTGCGGTGGCACCATCACCGTATCACAGGGCAACCATATGGTCTTGTTCTGGCAGTGCGTCGGGATCAGCGACGTCAAGGCCGATCGGAAGTTGGCACTCTGATCGTCGGGAATGCCGTACCACAGCTTGGAGGCGCCCGTGTGCAGGTACTCGATCCATGATAGGCCGTGCGGATCTCTGTACCAGCAGCAGGCGGAGAAGAGCATGCCGACGTGGAGAGTGGGAACGGTGACGCCCATGACGGGTCCCAGGGAGCGCAGAACAGAGCCAGAGTTGTTGGTCAGCACCTTGAGGTTCCACGGATGCCTGGCATAGTTGGAACCCTTTCCCTTGGGACCCGGACTGGGGAAGCCATAGCCCCAGCCCGAGCTATCAATCGAGCCCGAGTGGACGCACACATGGCTATCCCGGACGGCCACGTGGCGCCAAAACTCCGCTTCCACCTCGTTGACCGTGGGATCGGTGCTCTTGAACCACAGCGCCATTGTGTTCCGGGCAATCCTATAGAACTGACTGAGAGGCATGCTCCGCCCCTTCACGATACACTCCATGGACACGCCGTCGATCTCCTCCTCGGACTCTTCGTCCTCGTCGCTGCTCAAATCGTCCTCCTCGTTGGACACGCTCTCCGTGTTCACGAATCGATCCGCATTCCGTCGCGCTCGCGCCTCACGCTTGGCCCAGTCCGCCTCCACCTCGTCGAAGAGCTTCTGGCGCTCCGCCGGCGACAGTGTGTCGTAGGGCAACAGGTACTTGCAGTAGATGTCGTCCAGCTTGGTCACCCGATCCTGCGCCAGCTTGGGTATGCACATTTCCTCCGCCACGCGCGCCCATTTCTTCTTTTCGATCACCTCCTTGAGGCCGCCCAGCTCCTGGACAGTGTGATACAAACGTGGCAGGTCCACCTCCATTCCACCGATCCAAGGGGGATGGTTCATCACAATGCTCTGGGTGGCCAGGTACTTCTTGATCGCACTCAGCTCCTTGGCACTCGGTCCCCAGCGGTGGAGCATCTTGTGCACGTACTGATTGTACGCCGTGAAGCGCATCTCGTCCGATATCCGGCATTCCGGCTTAAAACTGGCCGGCGGAATGATCTTGCAGATGCCGAACCTGGCCGCTATCGGTGTGATCCGCTCGATGAACTCAATCGGATCGGCAAACTCCTTCTCCGTGGGCCGGAAAATGGGCGCTTCCACCATTTGTGTGGGATCATCGTGTCGCGGGAAGGCCGTGTTATTGGCCATCTTGATGGGTGTGTCATCCTTGTACTTCTTGGCCACTGCAGCCGCCGTGGAGCTGGTCTGGGCAGCTGTCCGAGATTTGGCAGAGCCCGAGAAGAGCGACGAGTTGGAGTTCACACGCACCAAGCTGGA